GGCCACAAGTCGAGCTCAGCTTCTGCACCTTCCACGTCCTCCAAGCCGTTTCAATGGGGTCAAGAAGAAGAGAGATATTGCCGGCCAAGCGCGAAACGCCGCCAGGGGGATCACTTTTTGTTGGTCCGCACTGTCTCTTTTGTACTCGATCCACATTGAAACGGCTTGGAGGACGGGGAAAACGCACTAGCTGAGCACGCCATCCCACAGGCCTTTCCCTGGTGTCATGAAATACACGGTCGATGAGGCGGAAGGAGCGGCGCGTCGCCTTCTCCTTCATGGAGAAGTACCACGCGGGGGACGACTTCTGGCCCTTCCGCCCTACCTGCGCTTCCTCGTAGGCGTGTGGGTCAAACCATTTGCAAGTCTTGAAATGCTGCGGCCAGCTCGGCTCCTAGCCCTCAGGCACGGGTTTCCTGCTGCTACTACTGCTGCTACTGCTCTTCTGCGGCGGTCTCGTCCACTTCGAACTCGTCCTCTTCCTCCGTCGCAGCCGCGTCACTATCGTCGCGAGCAAAGACCACGACCGACGCCTCGTCCTGGCCCGAATCCGACCCCTTGGCCGCTTGATGTATTGTTTTTAGGCTAAACGATCGATATAGAGTCGTTGTTTTGAATGGATTGCGTGGCTTTGAATGGATTGCGTGGCTTTGACCAAAAAAGGACACTTCCGCATGACCGGGAGGCAGGCGGACGAGGACGAAAAATGCGCGGTCGAGAGCGGAGGACTGCACACTGATTTTTCCACCTCTTCTTCTGTTTCCCTCTCCTTTTCCTTTTTTCTCCTTGTTGCCACGTTCCCAGGGTTCAAAGCGCTTTGTGTCAGTGAAAAAAGACCCACGTACTTCGTCGGTTCTCCTCTACTTGCTCAAGCGTCATGAATAGAATCTCGCCAATGACTGGTGACTCTCATCACTGGTGGGTCCTAGTAGAGGTGGCGACCGGTAACGGAGAGGGCAAGCCCGGACGGAAAAGAACGAGTTTGGGGGGGTAATTGATCTGCTACATTTTGACTATCAAGGTGTCATTCTTTTCCTTGAGACTGTGTCTGCTTGGATACGGCGCAAATGACGTACTTTCGACGCTTGGAAATCCTTGCCAACCGATTTGCTCGTTTTCGTCCTCCTCTCGCTATTCCCGTCTTGGCGGCTTGAGCCTAAACTTCAATTTGTGCTCGTCGAAGGACCATCTGCTAGTTTGTTTGAATCTCGTTGTCCAATGCACTTACCCATTTGAACATTATACCGTACAGCTTAAATGAAGGGGTCAGATGTCCTCGGTTTCTTTTCAGTATTTTTAGTCGCTCACAACGCGGCTGCATTTTTGCGACCTCCCTGCCTCAAAGATGCCAGCCATGGCCGTGGGACATACCCACATCAACGCTCTGTATTCACCCTCGTCGCAAGCCCTCTTTCCGCAACATCTACCGCCAACGACATCAACAGCGGACCCACTAGTCATCATAAAATTTTGATACTTGGCGGAGGCACTGGAGGGTGCGGTTCGGCTGCCCATTTAATTAATGAGGGAATGCAAGCGGCCGACATCTGCATTGTCGAACCCGCCTCGACTCACTATTATCAACCCCTGTGGACTTTGGTGGGCGCAGGCATATTTGATCTAGCAACGTCAGCACGACCAATGTCCGACATAATTCCTAAGGGAGTCGCTTGGGCCCGAGACGCCGCAAGTAAAATCGATCCAGAAATCAATACCGTGCAGTGCGCTAGCGGACGACAGCTTACTTATGACTATCTTATAGTTGCCACAGGCCTTCAATGCGACTGGGATAAAATCCCAGGCCTACAGGATGCCTTGCACAACAGTGAAACCTCACACGTGTGTTCGAATTACCATCCCGAGTATGCGGAGAACACCTGGCGCGTCCTTAGGGGCCTCAGCGAAGGCAGTGCTCTCTTCACCCAACCGCCTTCCCCTGTCAAGTGCGGGGGAGCCCCTCAAAAAATCATGTGGCTTGCCGACGACTATTTGCGTCGGAACAACAGGCGCAACGCCGTGGACATTAATTTTTTCATGCCACAAAAAGTCTATTTCGGAGTGCCTCGGTATGCGGAGGTCCTTGAGTCGGAGTCCAAGGCCCGCGGCGTTGGTTTTGTCTTCGAGACTTTGCTGGTGGGCGTCAACGGGGAGCGCCGCGAGGCCACTTTCCAACGGGTGAAGGACGGGAGCGAATACACGCTGCCCTACGCCATGCTCCACGTGACTCCGCCCATGTCCGCGCCCGACTTCCTCAAGACGAGCCCCCTGGCCGACCCCAAGGGGTTCGTGGAGGTGGACAAGTACACGACCCAGCACGTGCGCTACCCGAACGTTTTCGCCCTCGGGGACTCCTCCTCGCTGCCCACCTCCAAGACCATGGCCGCGATCACGGGCCAGGCGCCGGTGCTGGTGCATAACCTCCTTCGCGTCATGCGGGGGAAGCGAGCGACTGCCACCTACGACGGCTTCACTTCCTGCCCCATCGTCCTGGGCTACGACAAGCTGCTCATGACCGAATTTGTCTACGACTGTGTCCCGCAGGAAACATTCACGAAAATTCCTTTGCCTTTCTTAGACCAAGGCAAGCCCTCTTTCTTCTTTTTCTTGGTCAAGAAATACGTGTTCCCATTTGTGTACTGGAACCTGTTTATGAAGGGGAGGTGGTACGGATCGAGGCTTATTTTCAAGCCCGATTATTCGGAAGCCGATCGCCGGGCGGACATGGAGGAAGAGAGCAAGGATGTAAAGGGAATGGCAGATGCTCAAGCGGGGAAGCGGGCTTAGACCGATCATCAACTTGAAGTCGTCGCAGCATGCATGTGCGTTGTACATCGTCGTGGGGGAAGCAGGAAGGGGGAATGAAAAAAGCAAGAGACGGGAATAAAGCGAAGAGATGACAAATTGTCCGGGCGGGTTGTATTTTTTCCACTTCTTTCTTTGGTCGTTCAAGGGCAGAAATGGAGGTTATGCGTCCCAACCGAGACCCACCGCTATCTGATTGTGGGAAGCGTCGTCGAGCTTCACCATGACGTCCGTAGCATTCTACCTTGCACTCATACTAGCATGCCCTGCATAATTGCCCGCCGACCATCCCGATCATAGTCCCTCCCGATCATTCATTCGCTCGCCATGAACTTGAGACGAGTAACCCTCCCTAGCTAGCCAGGTAACCCACTTTCCTAGCTAGCCAGCACCCCGTCCACCAGGTTGGCCGGCAATGCCACGTCGATCTTCTTCGGGTACGCCAGTTTCAAATTGTTCATGATTTCTATGAATTCCTCCTTCGACTTTCCGGACAAACGGGAGTTGAAGCGTTTCTCCTCCCCGATGGTCGACATCAGCCGGCCCCTGTAGTCATGCCCCGGATACACCGAGGTCTCGTGCGGTAAGGAGAAAATCTGCGTCCAGATGCTCTCAAACATCGTCTCTGGAGATCCCTGCTGGAAATCCGTGCGCCCGCAGCCTCTGATCAACAATGCGTCCCCTGTGAAAGCCATCTTCATGTCGTCCGTGACGAAAGTCATGCATCCGTTCGTGTGCCCCGGCGTGGCACGCGCTTCCACATAACGACGCCCGAATCGAACCCGGTTCCCGGGCTCCAAATGAATGCTCGCTTTGGCGCCCGATATTTTTGCGATCATGGACTTGCAGCCCGGTACTTTCTGTGCGAGGAGTCCGCTTCCCGTCACGTGGTCGGCGTGGCAATGCGTGTTGAGAGCGGCCACGAGGGTGAGGCCCATCTCTTTGATCACCTGCAAGTCCCTCTCCACAGTCAGATCCACTGGATCGATCAGGATGGCCTCTTTGGTCACGGGGCAGCCCAATAAGAAGGTGTAAGTCCAGGACGTCTCTTCGTATAGGGGACGGAACAGCAATGGAAGCTCGTCCTTGTATTCCCTGGCGGCGACGGTAGCCAGCACCCAATCTTTGAGGCTCGGATTCTTTACGAACGGTAACTTCATTTCCAGCGCGTAAGCGAGTGTTTGGTCTTTCGTCCACCCCTCCTCTGTCGCCTTACGGAGGCACTGCACTGCGGAGGCCCGCCCCCCCGAGCTACAGACCACTAAGGCGGGGGCGGGCAGCTCGTCCAAAGCCTGTAGGGCATCCGTGGCCAGTTGTAGCGAAAGCCCGTCCTAAGGAAAAGCAGGAAGGATAAGGAAGATGGGCCGCGGGTGAGGTTTGAGAAGAGACATAGCGAGGGATGAGGGATCCGCCTCCTCTTCGGCAGCGGCAACGTTTTCTTTCCATACATTAAAAGCTACGTTCATCCCAAGGCTTCCAGCTTTTAAAATGCATATAGATTCGTATTTTCTTTCTCCCGCCCGCCGAGCATTTATTTTAGTGTTGTGCTTGATACCATCCCGCATTGTAGACTTGGGACATACGTCTTGCGAAAGTGTTCTAGCAACACCATTTGGCATCAACTTACCTTCACATCAACCGGCAAATGACGAGTAGTAAGTCCACGTAGAGAGGCGAATCCGTTGGGCTCAATGCCTTTGTCTGCGCCCTTATCGGTGGCCAAATATAGGACACTCTTGTACTTGTCGGAGAGAGCGCTTGTCTCAGCCTCGCCCAGTTTACCTGCCGTCGTGATGTCCGCAGCCGTCACGGTCATAGTGCTGGCCAACCGTGATGACCCAAAGCTTCTACTCCTAATGGACTGAAAAAATGTACGTGCCCAGATGGTGGGAAAAGAAAGGCGTAAGTTACCACATGGCAGGACACGTTTCGAAAAGGGAGAATGCTGCCGAATGCTTCAACTTGGCACCCCGCAACACCAGCCCGAGCGGGTCGGAGGAGACTCTGACCAAAATCCTACCTTTGGCACACCACGGGTACAAAATGGCGTGCTCGACATAAAGGCAGTGGCACTATAGCAGCAAATACCGTAAAAAATGACGAGTGGCCGCCATGGGGAGTAGAGAGCTGAGGACATGTTGTTGGATGCAGCCGGCGACCGGGTGCCTCTTTCCCTAAGCGAATCTACTAATATCATGTCGGAGATGGAAGCCAAAGGTCACCAATATCGCAGTTCGCACGAGAAAATTTTGTTCCGCTTCAAATCTCCACCGAATTGAGAAGCGACGCCGACATGTTCCTTTGAAAACATGCGGGGACATAAGCCTCAAGGGCGGAGGATCCAGAGCGCTCCAGTTGTTCCAAGACCAAGACCGGACGGGCCCCGACTGCCTGTCGAAAACGAGGGTTAACATCCATGATGTATCCCCTTTCCTTTTCGTTCGTTCACTGCTTATAAAGTACATGTGTGTACATTCGTATTGAAGCTAACATTTACATATATTTCATGTCTGAACTTGACTGACAGCACAGTGTACGATGATCTTCACCGTGCATGGAAAAAGAGTGGAGCACTACTAGCGTCTCAACGGCTGGTGGGTCGTGGATTTAAGCAGAATGTCGAAGCGAATTACAGAGCCAATAAAAGCAGTCCAATGATTGCAACAAGACTTTCAAGCAATCAGGTTGCGGGGCTCACGCGAAACGGTAAACATTTCAGCATTGATCGATCGCACGACGGGCAAAAATCGATCACAACCGAGCAAGGACCCCCCACACCAAAGCAATGATCGGTCACAGACAAGCAAGTCTCGACGGCTGGAGAACCCGTTTTTGGATGTTTTAGGTCCTAGGATATCTAGAATGCGGCCCAGGACGCAGTCTTACTGTTTGGACACGGTACAAACGGGGGTCGGACAACCATACTCAGTCGTGCGATCGGTAACCGTACAAGTCACTCGAAAACGACTGCCCCAAGAATATTAAGGGGTCAACCGATTGAGTCAAACGCCCACATCCAAATTAAACGGTCCGCTGAAAGTGGCGAACAATATCCTTTACTTCGTCGTCATCCAAGTTCCTTGTTGTTTCTTGTTGGCGGAAGCCGTTTTTTGTGTCTTGTTCCCGATGCTTGTTGGTGATCGAAAGTGTACGCGCAGGCAAAATCATTAGCGCAGCGTCTCATTCTCTCTTCTGTCATTTTTTTTTCAAGACTGCGTAGAGCCAACAGTTTGTGGAGACCGCCGGATACGTTCCCATCTTCTATTTAAGGTCCTTGTCCAGCCAATAGATGCGTCGCCGGGACGTGTCATCATCCACCACAAATGGCAAGACAAAAGCTGTATCAAAGACCCACGCCCAGTCGATTACTTCCCAGAACCCCCTCCCTCTCCGCTACCAAGATGTGCCACGTTAGAACGTCACGTGGCAACTACCACCCTCGGCCCTCCCGCTCCTGGGGATCTTGAACATGCCTGTAGGGAGGAGAACACCTGCATGCGCCGCTCATCTTGGCCAAGTCCCCGCATGCGGTCATTGGAATTTACTGGAGCCTTAAAAAGGCCCAAACCTCCCACAAATTAATCGGACGGACCTCCGCATCACGACCTCCGCATGCCCTTCGTGGCTCTACTGTGCAGGCGAGTAAATCCCGCCAAGGCTGCATTTTTTTCCCGTACTCTGCGACACAACGTGAAATGTTTTCTGTACCCAAGTTTCCCTCACACTTGCCAAACTTGAGCTCAGGGTAGCACTCATCCTTGTTCAGACCGTCCTCTCACCCGGGAAAATCCAGGCGGGCCATGGCATTTTGGTCTCCTAGCGGGAGGGGGCTGGAAAGAAAAGCGCGCCCGGCACTACAGTTGTACCTTCTCTTCGTGTACTCTTCCAGTATTGGTACCTCACGTACTTAGCCAGCTATAATTTGTTTTTCGACAAAACTCAGTCGTTTTGGTGGCAAACGACTATTTACAATTCTGGTACGCGGTAGAAAAGACCTGACTAGAGAATGATCTTCTTATTTGTTTACCAACACAGGGATCAGGGCCGGCGACAAGTCTATACATCTTGCGCGCGTCCATGGGACGTGACGTAGTGCGTACATTCTTTCAATGCATTTCAAAATGCCCACGCACAAATAAAGGAGACAATCTGATAAAAACAGCAGTCGAGGTCTGTAAATTATATGCATACAACCCATCCTATTGAGGGAGCGAAAATGGGGCATGTGGGGGTCGGGAGGTTACAGCCGGAGGGGAGTGCTTCGAGAAGTGATATTCGGATGCGACGACCTTTTATTCCACGAATGAAGTTCTACTTGATATTTTATAGGAAATCCTAGCAATGTCCCCATTCAATCGAGAAAGAAGGTTTTTTTGACCCCTTGAAGTAATTAGGCGAGGAGACGCGTCGCCTTTTGTCGACTTGCGAGGCTCGACGATGTCCTAAATGTGCACATTTACCAGTCCTAGAAACAGCTGTTTAGTCTTTGCATTGTCTACATCTCTGTTCATCGTAGCAAAGTAGCATGGCGGCGGATATAATGAACGACGTGGAGCCTACCAGTGCCCTGCTTCCTACGCAGCCATCAACCCGAAACGGCCCACCCTCAGATTCCCCTCCTTCTGCTGGTAAACTATCGCCTTTCTCTTCTGCTTTGGTTCCCATTCCCCGCAACCATATCGATAGTGGAGATGCAGAGGTAAACATGGAGCCGGGGGTGTCTCCATATGTACTGTGTTGGCCGTAGATCTGCGTGTTTCCTGAGTTGTGGCGTTTGTGTTGAGATAAGTCGTACTTCGCCATCCTATCCATGCGTTATGTGACATTCATCACTTCGACTTTTTGTCGTTTTCTTTCGTTTATTGCTTGTAGGGTGACTGCGATACGGCACAGTATATCATAAACTGCTTGCATTACAATATGGCTATCGATCCTTCCGTCGTCATCACCCTGCGCACCCGCTGGGCAACCATGCAGCCGACCAAAAGCTTCTGCGAAGGATCTCTCCTACCCCTGGCAGGTATTCTGGATCGCAACAAATTCATCCGCCGCCTGCATTTAAGTGGCGCCGGCGTCACAAACGTGAAAGCCACAGCTGGTAATGGAGACAGCAACGCCCGTATTTTGCATCAAGTCCTGCTCAGCAACGACTCCATCAATATTCTCGATATTAGCAACACGGGCATAGATGACTCTGGCCTAGCCGAGGTCTGTCAGGGCATGGCCGTTAATTCCGCTGTCACCACTTTGAATGTGGCGCGAAATTGTTTCTCAGCCCAAGGCGCTTTGATGCTGGAAGATATGCTGCAGAAAAACACGCGCCTCAAATACCTGGGTGAGTGCGCCGCAGTTCACGCTAGATGGAAAGATGTGACGGGATCCTCAGGGCCAGGTTTTTGAATTTGTGCTCACCCCTTACCCTCTTTCTCTCGCCGGTGTAGATGTCTCTAGGAACGCCCTGGGCTTCAAGTGTATCAACAGGTTGCAGTGCTGCGCCAAACTCAGAAACGTGGAGATGAGAGTGGAAGGTAAGTCTTGCTGGACGGCGAGCGAGCGAGGGAGGTTGAGAAGCGATAGGGCCTGCACGGCGGAGCGCCTGTCGTGGGTCGACAACGGCCTGGAGCTTGCCTGCGCCCTTGCGAGACTTTTCCGCGATCACATGCATGGTGCCGACGAACCTGCTCCGAAGTGTCTGTGATCGGGCTGAGGTCCACTCTATTTCAACCATGCCAATTCCGTAACGCCCCTTTCTCCATGCCTGCAATTGCCCTCTCTACAGGCAATTACGTCTTTGAAGAGATCCTGAACAGCCTCACGCACGGTCTCGGCTTCATCGCATCTGTGGTCGGCACCCTCCTCCTCATGTCAGCGGCGTCGGCGCCAGGAACCACGCCTTATCACTGGTGGAGCTGTCTCCTTTTCTCGCTCTCCTTGATGATGCTCTACATCTCCTCCTCCCTGTACCACTCATTCTTTATGCTCCCTCACGCGAAAGACGTGCTTCAAATTCTCGATCATGTGGGAATCTACCTTCTTATCGCCGGTTCCTACTCCCCTATCATGATGATTGCTCTGCATCACAGTCATCGAGCCAACCTCCTCCTCCTCTTGGAATGGCTGACTGCATTCGGTGGAATCTGCGTCTCCATCGCGTCCTCCGGCGTGGGAGTGTCAAACCAAGCCACTAACCTTGTGGAAGTTTTTATTTTCCTAGGGATGGGTTGTGCGGCGTTTGGGATCTGGGATGACCTGGTGGCGAATCTACCGGCAACCGCTCTCTACCTCCTTGTCGGAGGGGGCATGGCCTACATTATTGGGGTTGTTTTCTTCATCTTGGGCGAGATCAAACCGATCTATCACATGGTGTGGCACATGTTTGTGATGCTTGGGAGTTTGCTGCATTGGTTGTGCGTGTATCACTTCGTGGTTGGCATGGGTCTGGTTGCTACTCAGCAAAGATGACAGAGACATGGAGCTCAGGGAGGATGCAGAAGGGTGCCAGCATGGTACGATGCGATTTCGAGTTTGCACAGCGGATGCATGCCATCGTAGCGTCCATGGTGGTAATACTTCTTCTTGCGATGACTTAGACACATCTGATATGAGCAGCGATTCACGATTCAGCAAGCTTCCCAAAAAAAAAGTAAGCTTTATATAGAATATGTCGTGTTAACACACCTGGGGCCTTAAATATCGACAAGTTTGATAGTTCCAAGAGATGCGAGATACGCGTGTGCTTCTTTCTCTTGTATCGAGTTACCTTCCCACGTTGTTCCTTACCGGCGCGGACCACGAAAAGCGCGGATGAAGTAAAAACTCTTCATCAGCGGGAGGCTTTTGTATGTTTGTGGTGCATCCCTCAAAAATTGTCCACCATCTGAGTTAGGGCCGGCCCATACGGCGGTCGGCGGGAGGTTCCCTTCAAAGTTTGCTCGAAAAGAAAGCACTGTAGCCTCGAAAGGATGACTTTTCCCAGACTTGTGTGCAAAGTTGATAAAAAAAGATCGAGTGTGATAACAGTCCGCTTCAAGCGATCGAGGTTACTCGTTCAGCGGAGGGTTATTCAATCACTCGACGCACAATGTTTCCGGCCCTGACACTGGTTACTAACCAGTAGCAGCGAGGCGACTAGTTGACCATGCCCTGTCCGTTGTTCGAAGCCTCCAGGCCCTTAAATCACTTCTCCGAAAACTTCATGCACAATTCCAGGCGACTGCTTATTCAAATCAAGTATACAGGTACAAGAATGCCGGATGATAGCCATTTCTTCGATGACGCCGCTTACATTTCCCACATCCGAGACGAAGCGGCGACCAAGGAGGCCACCATATTCCATACTGCACACTGCCCACAAAATCGTTACCTCCTGGCCTCGTCAAATAAAGGGAGAATCGCTATATGGGACTTGTCTTTTTACCTTTTCCCAGCGGCATCCGCGTCTCTACTCACCACATGTCCTTCGCTATCGTTCGCCTCAAGAGCCTCCCCTCTGCTCACACGTGGATTTTCACGCCACCTCCGTCAGTATGAATGTCGGATGTTCCCCGCTGCATTACGACGAAAAGGTTTTCCATGCTTGAGCATACAAGTCTCTGAGCGGGCCATAAACCACGTAATGTTCCTGGGTGAAGGCTCCACGAGTCCCTTACTGGTCTTGGCGGGCGACGACGGCATCTACGTATGGCCTTGGGCGCACATTTTGAAGCTCTTGAGTCAGGCCATTGGGGAAGATGGGGGAATGGACCAGGATTGCACGCAGGGTATACCGGGAAACTCGTGTATAACGCAGGATCTTGGAGCTCCATCTGCCCTTCTCAAGGCTCTCCCCTCCCAGGAGGCGTGGCCTTTCCTCACAGAGAGCAACCAAGTCGCGCCCTCCTTTCATTCGTCTTCGTCCACCTCCCCCTCTGTCTGCTTTAGCGCCTGTGGAGATGCGTTGGTTCGTCAATGGGACCTGGAGACACAGAAGTGCGCGTCAGTCCTGATCGGGCACACCGGGTACGTCCACGCGATCCAGAGTCTGGGCCCCGGGACTGCTGCGCCCGGCCTAGTCCTGTCGGGGGGAGAGGATGGGAAGATCGGTGTGTGGGATGTGCGAGCCTGCGATGGCAGGGGGGGAGGCGTGGCGTCGCTGGTCAGAATGATGGAGGGATGGGAGAGGGGTGAAGTTCTGGGGGAAAAGAACAGGACAAGCGGCGGCGGGATTGGCAGCAACAGTGTGAACCGGCGAGAGGGGCCGTCGTGGATATCTTCCCTGGATGTGGACCGAGGGGGAAACTTTATGGTGGCGGCGGGGGGGATGCGTCACGTGGCAACTACC